GCAACGACAGAGCAGTCTTTCCCTGCTAACACTCCAGATTCAAGTCATCGACATTCGGGGCACTTTCTGAAGAGGTTACACCTGGACCTGTGCTTAGATGCCACCATCAATTGATCTAGAAACCTCCCTGAACACCTAGTTTTGTTCTTCCAGACATCCTGTGCTAATAATTTCCACAATTTATTTAGCCATATCATGAAAAAGCGTGGTCTTTTTGAGGCCGGAACACTGTTTTCTGTTCTCTCTGTGCTTTTCCTAGTCCATTTCTGTTTTCTAGCTCCCTCCTTGACCACTGCAGAGCACAAAGCTGATCTTTGCAGAAAACTTTTCACAGGAATTCCAAAATCTTTTCTCCTGTGAGCTATTTTACAGCTTGTCATTGCATATGGGTAGTTAGGCTTACTCCTTCCCCTGTGAATTCCTCTGTACTTATTGACATTGATTTTCATCTGCCATTTTATCACTCAGTCATTCAGCATCCAGCCAGACAAGAGAGCTCCAAATTTGGATTCCTTTAGCACCTACTTTTTTACTTAAAAGGGTTTTTTCCCCTTTTTTTTTTCCTAAGTAGAGCTACATGTGCAATGCAATGCAATCACTTTTAGCGGCTCGTCCTCTAGAACAAACCCACCACGTCCCAGTAGCTATTTGCAGCGTAACATTGTGCTGTCACCTCCTCAGGCTACAAGGTCCTGACATTTCAAGCAAATGTCATCGCGTCACAACTTTCTATCAGCACAACTCACTGGTGTGACGCACACGGTGCTACGAGCCCTTGTTTCTTATGGGATCTCTGACTATCCAAGAGGAGCCAGCATGATTTCGTAACGTGTGGATTTCATATCTCGGAGCTTAAAGTTTGGATCTGCAATGCTACCTGGGTAGCGGCAGCAGATGTTTTCTCTCCATAACTGTGAGATTGAACTTCGAGCTGTATGCTGAAAATCTTTAATTCCCTTATGTTCCTATGGAAACATGAGTGGAGCCTTCTGCCAAAGCAAGCTGAGGCCTTCGGCTTTACATGCGTAACATGTGAATTACCCATTTCTGTGCCCATTTGCAGGAGCCAGCTCCCAGCACTGGACCTGTGCCACTATCAGAAAGGAAACACAGAAAGGTCCAATCTAACCTCTACAATCTGCTGCAAAGAAACCGTGAGATACTTCCTTCCCTTTCTGCAGAAGTCATCCATCCAAAGACGCTTTGTGAGAGAAGAGCAGGGCTCCTTTTCGTAATTAGATTTGATTCCAAGACAATGAGCTAAAGGCAGGACGGAATTGGAGCAGTTTCTGTGTGAGGGGCATGGGCAAATGGGAATTTACGGCTTTGGCATGTGCAAATGGGAATTTAGGGCTTTGACAGACTGAAAATTCTGTTACCCTGCAGAACATCCTAGGAAATTCAAGGCAATTGAGATTGCTTAGCCTCTGTGAAAGAGGGATAAGCAGAGAAGTGCTCTGTGATAAGAACATATGCACATGCCATTGCCCTGGAGCAGGATGATAAGTGGTAAACTTTGATATCCCACTTTAACTTACTCGGGTGTGCAAGCTCTTTGTCTAAGCTGGAATGCAAAATAAAGTTGTGCTCTATCGACTGATCAGAGCTGGCTTCAGAGCCAAAGTACGTACAGGTTATTATTACTGTAACTGGTTAATCAGACCAGCCATCAGACCTCAGCATTGAACACTGTGAGCAACTGTCAGCATACACTGCTGATAAATCCAATCCAATACATATGGAACTAGCTAAGAGAGAAAATTCTGCCTCATTTAAAATCACATTATCCAGCCTGCCACCCTTCACTGGCTTTTGGCCTGTCACACAAACTAATGGACAGATGCCCTGGAAAATACTCGTCATGAACCTAGGAATGGGTAAGAGCCTCTTGTGTTTGACAAAAGCCAATTAAGATCAACTAAACCTTCTATTATGCCTCTTCTGAAAAAAAGCACATCTACCATATTACATAAAGAGCTCAATTGTACTCCTGGTTGTCAAGCAAACACCAACAAACATTGAAGAACTTGCCATTTGGCGGGCAAAATAATTAGAGGAGCAGTAACCTTCAACAGCAGACGCCAGTGACAGATGACATGTGCCAGTATCCTGGATGACTCATTGAGCAGGGCACCAACTGGGGCACGATGCTGACAGATCTCATGGCAGGTGAAGACAACTTCCAGAGAGCCATGGATGCCAGTGAGATATTGATGCTTATACCGCCAGATCCCTCCGTAGCTTTTGACAAAGTGCTAAGATACAACTGATGTGTTCATGTTGTATAGTGAGAATAAATGGCCACCACTGCTGTGGCTTCTCCCGTTGAATTTAGATGTGCAACAGGTACCTTCCGCTCCTCTTCAAGGTTCTTGTTTCATGGTCCTGCAAAGATCAGTCCTGTCTTGGCATGAATTAAACACAGGTATTGGAATGTAGGACTAGAAGCAATCTTTTGGGTCATTTAGTCCTTCCATCCATTATCTCAGCAATCCTGTCATATAATCCCCTCCAAAATTAATGAACTTCATCATAAAAGCAGCAAGTAATTTTTTTCCTCACTGCCCTAGAGGCTATTCTGAAACCTCACTGCTCTGATGGTCAAATACCCAATCCAGGTCAAAATGATGCCCTTCAGACAGGGAGATGCTGCGAAGAACTAAGGAAAATGCTGGTTTTACCTCCTGGCAAAAATACACAGCTCCCATTCAACTGAAACATCAGTTCCCTGACTCCTAACTGACTTTGAATCAACAGTTTTGCAACCCTGTCTGAATCCCTTCCTTTACCTCAGCTCAGCGGAGAAGTTTGTTCTTTGTCTCAAGCAATGTCTTAGTCCTGAACTTTTCCTGCCATTACTTGCAAGGTAGATTATCTTCTGTGGATTTCTGTGTGACCAAATATATGTTTTCCCACGTGTCATCCACCTCCATGGCTTTCAGCCCATGCAATAGTTACAGTGCTGGCCAAAGGCCGTGATTTTAATTGCCAGAGCAATCAGGGGATTAGTCCCTGCTACATGAAAATCTCACATTTTTGATCTGTGAACTGCTGCATCTGTGCTTCACAGCATAGCTCACAGTGGATGAAGACTGAGGGTAAATGTTTCGAACAAGGGGATCTGGCTGTAAAACAGCGTTTTGGAGAAACACAAGACCTGATCGCTTCTCCGAACCGTTCTCAAAGCTTTCTATCTGAAACAGATTTTCCATCATTTCTGTCACCGTGATGACAGCCAAAAAAACATTATAGTGAGGATTCATCTCACTAATTTAATCTGTCTACAGTGTAAATGTTTCCTTTGGAGATATTTGCTGTAGTCTCCTTTTATAGTCAATGGGGAGGAAAACGTGTTTCTAGCAGGATTCATGTAATCTCGTACAGATATCTGCTTCAGGGTGCCGTGAATTGCACCCCAGAAGTAGGTATTTCTCTCCACTGATTGGAAAAGCTCCAGATACTTGCTTGGATGCACAATGCAGATGTCTGCTTTTTGCCAAGTGATTGCTACCCTGCTAGCGAAAGAAACCAAACAGGCAGATCCTAATATTCATGTATTCATATATTCCAAACAGAATTTTCACTTGCATAGATAAGGGTGTTACAGGTTTCTACATTCTTTTACTGTTCCTTTACATTCTTTTAGTGTCTTTAAGACACTCAAATATTATGCTGAGTAGCATTCTGCCACCGTAGGGTAGATGAGATGGATGATTCTATTAGTATCTGTGGAGTTATTTTTAATTTATACTAACATAAAAGAGAGGTGAATGGGGCCCTTAACTTCTTATTCCTCCCTTAGTCACGGACTTTCTCTGTGACCTTGTGAAAATTGCTTTATCTGTTATTTTGCCGATATGTAAAATTAGGATGATCACACTCGCAGACTGCTATGAGGTCTAATAATTAAGTGTAAAGCACTATGAAAACCTCTGATGGAAGATGCAGAGTATAGCTAGCCTGGGATAAAGAGGATTAAAGGAGGTTGTGCTAACATAACAAATACTTGAGAAATGATGCTTCGGGGGAAGTGAAATGGCCCGTATCTGCAGGTGCGGAAAGGAGAATCGGCAGTCTGTAACTTGTCAGCAAACCTCAAATCCACTGACAGGAGTACATCTACGAAGGAGGTTTGGACAATGAAGTGAATCACCAAGCAGAGTTTAGAAACAGATGAAATACTATAGATTAGTAGATTACTATAGATTAGTAGGATTATCCTAGGAAAAACCCTTGCACTTTTATCCATCTGGAATTTGATTGACCTGATGGATCTTTCACAGCCTTTTTCATCACCATTTCTGAAAGATTCACCAAAGTAACATTTTCATGCACATGGCTTAATATTCATACCATGAGCAAGAACACCATGTTTCTGAGCATGCAAGACACGTAGTTATTAGAAAACCTTTTCCTTTCAGCGGTTCACAGAATGCCATGCCCTTTTCCAGAAGTGAGCAGGGATTTCTAAATTGCATCATGTGCCAGTTGGAAGTGCCTTCCGTGGAATGGTGCCAGTTCAAAGCTCCTCATAACCAGGGATCTCGCGTGTCCACTCTCATCTCATCCCTTTTGGATGCCATAAATACATTGCTCCCAATCAAACCAGCGGTCTTACTCTTTCACGAGCGTCAGACCAGACACCGTCTTCTATCCATCTCGTAACTGTCAGGTTGCTGTTACTTCTGACTCTCTTCCTTTTTTTCCTCCCCAGGCATCACTGTGGACAAGTTTGGGCTGATTTACTTTGTGGATGGCACTATGATCAGGCGGATTGACCAAAATGGGATCATTTCAACTGTGTTGGGTTCCAATGACTTAACATCTGCTCGACCGCTCAGCTGTGACTCTGTCATGGACATTTCTCAGGTAAGACAATGTTTTGGTTGGATTTCTACAGAATAGAAGCCTATGACTTCACCCTATCTGCATGTCTGTGTGCCTCCTCAGGTTTGACAAAGAAGTAAGGGCTCAAGGAGAATTACTTCTCTACATATTTTATGGTATGAAAATGACTGGGTCAAAAATAAAGACTGAAGAAAAGACCGAACTGACCTAACTCAGAGATCTCTGGGGAGAGAGTTTTTAAAGATAGAATCATTTTGGTTGGAAAAGACCTTTAAGATCATCAAGTTCAGCCATTAACCTAGCACTGCCAAGTCCACTATTCAACCATGTCCCTAAGCACCACATCTACATGTCTTTTAAATCCCTCCAGGGATGGCAACTCAACCACTTCCCTGGGCAGCCTGTCCCAGTGCCTGACAACCCTTGCAGTGAAGAAATATTTCCTAATATCCAATCTAAACCTCCCCTGGCGCAACTTGAGGCCCTTTCCTCTTGTCCTATCGCTTCTTGCTTGGGAGCAGAGACCGACCCCCACCTGGCTACAACCTCCTTTCAGGGAGCCATCAGGTCTCCCCTCAGCCTCCTTTTCTCCAGGCTCAACAACCCCAGTTCCCTCAGCCTCACCAGTGCCCAGTACAGGGGGACGGTCACTGCCCTGGTCCTGCTGGCCACACTGTTTCTGTCCCAGCCACAGAAGAGACTTCTTTCAGAGCTCCAGATCAGCTGGGAGACACAGATTCCTGGGAAGGCAGGTTTCATTAGGCACAATTCTCAAGAAACCAGTTGCTTTAAACTAAAAAGACCAGGCAGCAGTACTCATTTTAGTAAGGCTATATGCCATGCTCTGTTATAACAACTTAGATAGCCATAGGGGTTTTTTTGTTTGCTTCCCCCCCCATCCTAATTTGGCCCAGCACAATTTTAGACCTGAATCAAATTAACATCTAGGAAATACTGATTGGAGGCTGTGGTGCCAAAATTAGCAACAGCAGGAAAACAAGAATCTTGAATTGCATCAGATTGCAAATTGGTTGCAGCTACCATCATGCTGGGCTTTTAAGTCCTGCTGCTTAAAGGTGGAGAGAAAAAAAAGAAAAAAAAAAGAAAAAAAAAAGAGAAAAAAAGAAATCTCAGTTTGATGATTGCTTTACTTCTGGGTGGCGCAGAAGAGACATCTGTTACAGCCCAGCACTCGATTTCATGGCGCACTGGCCAACCTGTCGAATTGTGCCAGTTTAGAGACAGTGTCCTTTGAAACCCCTGCGCCACTTGTTGTTTGCCTGGCTACAGGAATGTCGCCCTCTCCTATGAAAATATAGATCATAGCTGGAGGGCTAAGTACTGTTATTCAGCCACAATAGATGTCAACAGGGTTTCCTTTTTGTAACTACCTAGATAATTTCCATGCTCCCATATGGAATTTGTTCTTCTTGTTTTTCCCTCTAATTTGAAAAGATTATTCTTGCTCCTTTGCAACTGGTTCCCACTGTCCGCAATTTGTGAACAAGCTGAAATTACGAGTTTAAAAGCTCTCATGCCTTCTATAGAAGCAAATTTTGCTGGTTAAAGGCCATATTGTAGTATGTTTCTCATCTTACAGCCATCATTTTTTTCTTTATCTGAATTTCAGGGGCAGTTACCACAAGACCATTGTGGATTCAGGCCTTAAAAATTATTTTGTCACAGTTTATGTGGCTTATAGGTATAAGCTTATAGGTATATAGGTATAATACGTCATATTTAAACACTTCTGAGATGAGCTGAAATGCATCAGCTGAAGACTCTGTCTTTCCTTTCATAAAATGACAGGCGCCATTCTTAGATTAACTTGTACTGTGATGGACAGATTAACCGGTCCTGTTCTGGACAGACGCACTGAAGACAAGTTTAATTTAAAAATAAACCCAACCCAAACCAGGCAAAGAAAACCCAGCTTGGGAAGTAGCTTTTCATCATTTACAGTGGTGAGAAGGGTCTTTTCTGTCAGGTCCCTGAGGCTCCCTGGGACATGAGGACATGAAATATTTAGCTGCCAATGTTGACAAGGAATGGTTTTTAAGAAATTGAAAATTCCCTTGTCAGTTCAGAATAAACTCCGTTCATGATGCTAACTCAAGGCTGTGGAGCTTAAAGACCACTGGAAGGGATGGAGGCATGCATTATTAAAGAGAAAACCACAGGCTATAATGTTTTACTACAGGAAGGGTTAAAATAGGCCAGGAGCTGAGAAAAGGAAGGCAATTTTCCAGAGAGAGAATCAGACTAGGCAGAGCTCAGCGCACTGCTTAGCCATGAAAATGAGCTTCACAAGCCCAGCCATTAGAAAGCACAATGAACTAAATACCTTGCATCTGATGCTCTTAGGAAAAAAAAAAAAAAAAAGTTGAAAAGGGATTTAAACATGAATAGAAGCATCAGAAGTAAAGCATGGCTGTGGCAGACATGTTCAACTACAGGCTTTAAAAATATGAATTTCCTGTGTTCCTCTTACCTGGTTTCTTCTTGTTCTTGGTTTTAAATGCTTTGGAAAGCATTTAAGCGTTGGTTAGTTCCTATCAGCACAACATTGACCTTTCTTTTTTAATATATAAACCTGAAATAAAATTTAAAAAGAAATGCACACCTTACAGTTCTTTATAAAAAATATTAAATTACTCTGAATTCTGTGGTAAAGGTTTCTTTGGTTTGGTAACTAAGAGAGACTCGTTTGAAAAGGCAGTGTATTGCAGAAGTAGAGCTAGAAATGGAGATCTTCTAGTGATCACTCACTTGAGGTGTTACCAGTCACTTTTTCAGTTTATTTGTGTACACAGATTATCAGTGTAGAACTGTGATGTGCCACTATTACTTGAACCCATTCTTCCATTATGCTAAAAAAAATAAATTGTGAAAACTGCTGTGGACACAAGTATTTTATTCCATGAATTGAAATTGCCTGAATTTCTTGTGAATTGCTGTTTTGCATTTTTGCAGCATCAAGCAGAAAATAGGTGGTTATAACTTAGACACACACACATGCTGACACAGCTGCCAGTTTTGAGTCTATCCCTCCTTCTCATTTACCCAGAGGAGCTGGGCAACTTGTCTGGAAAATCCTTTAGTACAAGGATCGTTGTTTTGTTTGGCTGATTTCACAGTGCTTCACACAACAAAATTCCCAGTCCCAGGTCTCTGCTACCATCAGGCCTAGGCTCTATCAATTCAAAGAGCATGGGATGGTTTGGAGAGATGAAATCCCACTTGAATCTTTGGATCTTCTTGTTTAGTCCTGCGTTCTCTGGGTGCCGATGGCCCTTCCCAGAGCCCCTGAGACCTCACATAAAGGTGGGGAGGCAGAGAGAAGCCATGGTGCAGAGCAAGAACTGAGGATCTCAGGGATCCCTCTGCCCATCGCCCTGCTTCCACCACTGCTGCAACGCCGAGTGTGGGTGTCCACGTGTGTCTACTCCGTGTGACAAGGAGCTAAGCCCCCTTGCTCACACCAGGGTTGTGTCCTCTATGACCACCATACCAGGTGGTAATAATTAGTTGTGTTTCTTTTACCCTTTCTCCCTTTAATCCATGTTGAAACATCCTCATTGCAGTTGATCTGTAGCAATCATGCAGTGAAAAAAGGTCTTGCTATAATAATTTCCTTGTGTTGTTTTACCATTAAGGTTCGTCTAGAATGGCCCACGGACCTGGCGGTCAATCCGATGGATAATTCGCTGTATGTGCTCGACAATAACGTTGTGTTACAGATATCTGAGAACCACCAAGTGCGCATCGTGGCAGGGAGGCCCATGCATTGCCAGGTGCCGGGCATGGATCACTTTCTCCTTAGCAAGGTGGCAATCCACGCCACCCTGGAGTCTGCTACCGCCCTGGCCGTCTCACATAACGGGGTCCTGTATATTGCTGAGACCGATGAGAAAAAGATCAACCGCATCAGGCAGGTCACCACCAATGGAGAGATTTCTCTCGTTGCCGGTGCACCAAGCAGCTGTGACTGCAAGAACGATGCTAACTGTGACTGCTTCTCAGGGGATGATGGCTATGCCAAGGATGCCAAACTCAACGCACCGTCCTCCCTTGCAGTGTGTGCAGATGGGGAGCTGTATGTCGCTGATCTTGGAAATATCCGAATCCGCTTTATTCGGAAAAACAAACCATTCCTCAACACACAAAACTTATATGAGTTATCCTCACCCATAGACCAGGAACTCTACTTGTTTGACACCAGTGGTAAGCACCTTTATACTCAGAGTCTTACCACTGGAGATTATCTTTACAATTTTACTTATTCCGGAGATGGAGATATAACCCTGATCACTGACAATAATGGCAACTTAGTGAATATCCGAAGAGATTCCACGGGCATGCCCCTCTGGCTGGTAGTGCCCGATGGCCAAGTCTACTGGGTGACAATTGGTACCAACAGTGCACTCAAGAGTGTAACAACACAAGGGCATGAAGTGGCCATGATGACGTACCACGGCAACTCCGGTCTCCTTGCCACCAAAAGCAATGAAAATGGTTGGACAACGTTTTATGAGTAAGTATATTATGAATATTGTGCTGCTGGCTTCATTCTGTATTCTCTGAACCATGCAAGGTTGATTGATTGATAGAATTTAATTCCCTGGACAGAATTATTATCCAAATAAAATGGCCAGGATAGATAATACTAGCTCTCACACAAACACTTCATACTAGAAGTGAATAAGCTCCCTCTACCAAGTCAACAGTCAGACAGAGTTTCTGCTGAGTTTTTCTAAACCAGCTAAGCAATTTGGACACCTGGTTCTCCTTAACTATAGCCAGGACTGGGGATTTAGGCTGCATGTTAGAGAATTTTGCTTGGCTTTGAAAGCCTTGGAAGTGTGAATGTTCCATCAGATCCTCCTTTTCGCAGCTTTTCACCTACTTCCTATGCTGCAAAGTCTTTTTAGAGCTTGTCTGAAATGGCTGATGTGGAAGGACAACTGGCAATGACTAATGACAGCTTGCTCAGAAAACGATTCTGTAATTAATGGACTGCTCAGTTTCTATTGTTGCAATTGGCCTCACTAAGCTTTAAAAATAGTCTCAGAACTGTTCAAGACCATCCCTGCCCCAAAGTCTTTTTCTGAGCAGACAGAATGCATTGAAAAACCCAGAGATGGCAGTGGCTTGAAGATTTGTGCTTTTTTTTTATTACTGTTAGCAATTCCCTGCTTATAAACACCATGAAGACAACACGCTTCTGCTATCAAATAGGAAAAAGACAGATAACTGAATGAAGGGCATCTAGAAGGATGGTCTGCAAATTCATCTTGCTGTTGAGAATCCTTTCCCCTCCCTCTTCCTTAGTTTTATTTTTTATTTTCAAGTCTAGCCTCTCTGAAATGCTCCTTTTAGTGCATAATTTCCCATATGGTTTGAATGGTTACATGGAAGTATTCAGCTACCATAATAATAGACCCATTGTAAGAGTCCAATTTGGCTAGAATAGACAGTTCCCGAGATTACAAAGAAGAAAACTGGGGAAAAAAAAAAAAAAAGGTCTCAGAGAAGGAAAGCTGGCTAAACCCACATATTCATGTGTTAGACATGCTTTGGTTCTTTCTTTAAAGTGTTCCAGGCCCAGTTTCAAATTTCTTTGCTTCATACTCACTATTACTGCTCCTGCCTCGAAAAGAGCTGATAGAAACTCTGTGATGAATCTTTTGAAAGGTTATTTGCATTCCATCCATGTTCTGCTTGCAATTACTACAGCAATATTCCTCAGTGAATCAAAGTTAATACCCTTCCATCTCTTACATTGAATTTGCTTGAGGGAGGCTTTAGGGAGGAAAGATAGGGTGTTTTTCGCTATAGGAGTGGAAGCCCGCTATATTGTCAGGACCATTGGGCTAAATCAAGGAGATATTTTCTTTTTGCAAAGAACCCAATAGTTCCTGTGCTTGAAAACAGATGTAGCCATGGACAGTGAAGCAAACTAAACATTACAGCTAATAATGGTCAGATTTATACCTCAAACATATTCTTTTATTTAAAAGTGTGACTGAAAATATAAAGGAGATAAAATGAGACAGAAGCTAAAATCCAACTTACTCTGTGGATATATTTATAACAGTGATCCATTATTTCTTGCTATCCAACAAAACAGAGCATTTGTGAAAGTCATCATTCTGGTCCTTTTATGCACTTCAGAAGAGTCATAAGAAAGCTTTTTAGAGCTAAATGGAAGACAGTATTCTCCAGTGGTTAGACTATGGAAATCTTGACTAGAGCAAGTCAGCACTATATGATAGCACAGCATCACTGAAAATAGAATTGGGAATGTGTCTTCAGAGATACCTCATCCAAACCTGTGATCAGTTATCTCTATTTAACTGTTCCTGACAGATTCTGATGCAACTTTATAGAACTACAGGGTAAAAGTCTATACCTGAATTAGTTACCTCAGCCTCCCTTTATAGGCAATGGAGAGAAACAGGCACTTTCAAGGTGAGTTATGAGTTATGAGTTATGTCCGGTATCTGCTTTAGGGTGAGAAGAGATGAATTGTATTCTGAAAGTTTCTCTCTGTAGAGGTAGTCCAGAATGATAAGTTCAAGTACAGATGTTTACATTGCACATGTCTAGTCAAATGGATCTTATCAAAGTCATCTAAGTTATAAATATTGCTGGTGATCACAATGTATTTACCTATCTTATTGTTAGAAAGCTTTTTATATGCTCAGTCTAAATCTTCCTTGCTTGAATCGGAGACTGTCACTCTTCAACCTGTCCTGTCCTGTCCTATCCTATCCTATCCTACTCTACTCTACCCTACCCTACCCTACCCTACCCGATTCTATCCTAAACTGTCCATGAGGGACTTGGAAAGCAGATCATCTGATCTTCTTCCAGGCTGTGAAAAGTACATATCAAATAGCTCAAGAACTTGCTCTGTGATAGCACTTGAAAGGTAATCGACAATGGAGAATCATCCAATGGGGTTGTTTCAGTTGAGTTGGCAAGAATTAATTCTACCCAGGTTTTGCATGCATTATCTAGGAAAAAAATATAAAATTTGAATAATATTAGAAGATCAGTAAATAAAGGTGAGATACTTAGATTGCTTGATAAAGTAGGTTTTGTTTAAACAAAATGCATTCTTACACAGCCAAATGCCAGGGTACACATATAACAGGCCACATCTAAAGAACTAGGCTGAGCATTGACTCTCAGAGGTTGTAGTGAGCAAAGTCATTCCATGTGATCCTCAGCATAATTCCATGGCAAATCTGTCTAACTTGTCACTTGGATGGACAAACAAAATGAATACATTTACTCATCCCACTCTATTTGTAGTGGGTAGTAGTAAGCTGATTTTATCCCTGTACAGCATTGATGAGACTAATACTGTCAGTTCTGATGCCTGCAGTTTATGAAGGACAGTGAAAATTGAAGGCTGTACAGAAAAACATTACAAAAATGCATTCGTGGGGAGACAGTGCTTTATGCTGGAGAACTAAGAAGATTTGATCTATTTATCTTAACATGAAGAAGACTGGGAAGTGTCTAGATCATAGCATGTCAGCACAAAACTATGACCTACAAAGAGACTCTTAATCTAGCAGAAAAAGGATTGAGAAGGGTAAGGGGCTGGAAAGCAAACCTAGAGACATTCGAGTTGACAGGAAGGTGTGATTTTTTAAGGCTGAGATTGCCTAACCAGTAGAGCAACCAACCCTGAGAAGCAGTATATTCTCCATCTCTTGGTATGTTAGATCACGACTCTGGATAACTTTCTTAAGATATATTCTCACCAGACAGAAGATTTGCATGAGTCAAACACAAACTTCAGGGATAAGTGCAGGCATGGCAGGATGAAATCTAAGTTCTTTGATACCCAGTAAGCCAAAGAGGATGGTGCAAACCAAATCAGCATTCAATTCCTTCAGGTTATTGGTTTCTGTATCAGAACATCAGGAAATTTACACTGAGGAAGCTTAAGCGATTTAGAGAAATTGTGCAATCACAAGCGACTAGAAGGTGCTCCGAGCAGTTTTCAGTTCTGGCTGAGGGAAAAGGTGAAGCTCATATTCCTGTTTTGCTCATGACTAAGGAAATAAAGACATCAAATCTGACTCTGAGGAAAAGCTTCATGTTTCTCACAGCACATAATAGTTGTTTATGAGCTAGGGCAGGCTGGACACCAGTGTTTAAAAAGTTAAGAGTAAACGTAAATCCAACTGGCAAGTTTACACTGCACCAGTGGGCCCATGAAGAACAGCCTTATAACATTTACCTTTACCTGACTGTCTACAGAGGACCATAAACCAGACATCCAACATGAAAGAGTAATGGTGTTGCAAGAGTGGCAACACTACGTGTGTTGATGTCCAACATCTCTGGTTGTCCTTCAGTTCTTGCTCTTACCAGGGCATTTCTCAGCCTTTATCACAAGGCTGCAAAGAGCTGTGACATATGGGCACGTTGGTGTGACTCTGGAGAGGAGAGGAGGAGGTGGGATACGTTGATGCAGGTCTAGCTCCTGGGCACATCAGGAGGTCCTCCAAGGCCACCAGGTCCGGCAAGGCTTCAGGCTGGGCTGGTAGATCGTCCCTTCATTTCTGTGGCGGAAGGAGACAGGGGCTGTCCTCAGGTGGCGGCAGACTTGCTCACAGCACTTACAGCTCTTCCGTTCACACATCCTACACCAAAGCCTGCTGTAACAATCCTGCTTTATTGGGTTTAGCGCTGAGTAAGGTTCAGTATATAATGGTGTGTAGTTTCTCTTTCTTTTGAGAGTGAAACTAGCTCCCTGCAGTAATTAGCCTGTCCCCAAAGGCCTGTCTAGGGCTTCTTTGAGGGTTTTAGCATTATATAGACCTTCTCTGCCTCTGCAGAGGGCTTGACATTCGCTGTCAATTAATGCAATGCAGCTCAGCTTGTCCAGCAACTGGATTAAAGACTTGCCTTCCCGTTGAACCTGTGACAGTGATAATCAGCAGCAAAGGAAGTTGATCTGGAAACTGCCAGGGGAAGGGCTTCTCATTGTTCAGCTCCTCAAGTCAAAGACAAAGGATGCTGTGTGACTACTTGCTGCTTTGTTATTGCTGTTTTTTCACTTGACCTGAAAAAAATTGCTACCAGCCTTTACAAAGTTTTTTAACAGTTGCTGTTTGTCTACTTCCGAATCCGGAAATTCTTATTAATGTATTTGTTTAAATCAAGAATACGGCAATTATCTTGATTAGCTCATTGAGATGGTATCACTGTACATTAATTCAATTTCCCTCTGAGCCAAAGTCAAACCTTCTATGCATTATTTAGCCCAGATGAGGCTCTTTCACTTAGGTCCTTTGTGTGCCCAATTAGTTTCGAAGGTCACCTCCTCCCATAAAGAATTAAATACTTACACATCACTGCAGCCAAGCCCAGAAATTCAAAATCTTTTCATGGACTGACCAAGAAGTCGCTCATGGCTGCCTGGAGGGCGAAGGGTCTCATGGAGCCAGATCTTCAGATGGGCAGTAAGGGGAGCGTTGACCCGTAACGTAGGATGCTGTTTCGTAGAGA